TTTTTTTTTTTTTTTTTCATTTTTTTGCATTTTCGTCCTTATTTCAACATTTCATTGCAGAAAACATCATTTTTCACCATTTTAACGTAAAACGACCAATATACCATTCTATTTAAATAAAAATAAATAAAGAATGAATTGCAATCTTACTCCTAAACTTTTTTAAAAAGTGCAAATGAATCCAAATAAATTATTAAAATATTAAAAATAACCAAAAATAAAAATAAAAATTGTTTTTCTCTCCTCTTCTTCTCGTCCCCCTCCCTCAGCCTCCACTATCACCATCATCACCACAACAACCACAAGAAATCTTTCCTCATTCTTAACTAAAACACATCTCCTAGATCACCCAAAAATCTTATCTTTCGTCGTATGTCAGAAGAAATTGGAGAAGAAGAATAAATGATGATCTGATTTTATCAAGAATTCATTAATGGGTTTGCCGAGAATTACCTTACATTTTGTTCATGTTTGTCTACTCATTTTAACCATTCTTGAGCTCACCCCAGTATCCAAATCTGCACATGACTACACTAGTTTAGTGTACAAGGGTTGTGCCAAGCAAGATTTAGTAGATTCAACAGGGGTTTACTCAGAAGCACTCTCTGCCCTTTTTGGCACCCTTATTGCCCAATCCTCCAAGGCCAAATTTTACAAAACCACCACTGGCAGTGGCCAAACCACCATTAATGGCCTTTTTCAATGCAGAGGGGACCTGTCTGGGGTTTTACTAATATCCCCAGTCATATTGGGAAGGAGAAAGGTTCTCAACCTCCAAGTATTTCGGATTCTGCTCGGAGAAAGCAGCAGATTTTGTTACAGCAAGCATTACCCCCTGTGGCACTTAATAATATACTTGTATAGTGCTCCTCTCCCAATTTCGCCGCCATTTACATTTCTTGTTTTCTGGAATTTGTGGAATATTTTTTTGAATTTAATTTCTTGTTCAAGGATCGGCTTTTATCTTTCCCCTGAATCAGCAATAGGCGGCTGTGGCAATTGCCTCTGCTCAACCCGCTACTGCAAAGCCTCCAACCATAATGGGCAGTGTAGCTTCACCTAACATCTCCAATTCTGCAGCTACTAGTTCCTCTGCCATAGTTGGTGGAGCACCTACTGCTATGAGCTTCAACTATCCGAACATGCCTCCCACCCCATACTTGGCTATTTCCCCATACATGCTTTATGAAGTTGCAAGATTTTCACAAATCTCCAGGATGGAAAAGTTGTACAAGACTTGCATTGGAAAGAATGTTGGAGGGGCCAGATATGAGGCAAATAGAGACAGTGCATTTTTTTCACTTGCAATTTCTATCATAACATAAGTATTTGGGGGTTGATGACAGCAGTTTGTGGTGTGAGCTCATGTGGTTTTTGGCAGCGACGGTGGTGCTGGAGGCTAAGGGAGGGGGAGGAGAAGGGGAGAGAGAAACAGTTTTTATTTTTATTTTTAGTTATTTTTAATATTTTAATAATTTATTTGGACTCATTTTCACTTTTTAAAAAAGTTTAGGAATAAGATTGCAATTTATTCTTTTTTTTTTTTTTTTAATTTAAATAGAATGGTATATTGGTTATTTTACGTTAAGAATGGTGAAAATGATGTTTTCCGCAATGAAATGTTGAAATAAGGACGAAAATGCAAAAAAAAAAAAAATGAAACGTATGGACGTTTTCCGCAAGAAGTGTCAAACGTATCGACTATTTGTGCTATTAAGTCTTTTTATATTATAACTTATAGCTATCGAGTTTAGTAAATAAATTCTTGCAAGTAAACTACTAACCATCCATCTAAAAGATTAAACAATCAAGAAAAGCAAAAAAAAATTGAGTTATAACTTCAAGGCATCAACACGTTTTTTGATGAGTAAGACTATATTTATTTTTTCTTAAGGACCTGACACGTATACACTATTCATAAATTTATTTAGTAACTTTTAGGCTCTATATTTTTCATGAATTTTCCATTTTTCAGTTTTTGTATTGTTTGATAGGCAAAATTTTTCGGGGAAAATATTTTTCAACTTTCCAAATTTTCCACCTTTTTTAGGAAAACAAATTCTTGATGTTTTGGTTGGTTAATATTTTTCAAGTTTTTTTTTTTTTTTTTTTTTTTTTTNAATTGGAAAAAATTCTAGACACAATATTTATTGACAATTTTCATACAAAACAAAGTCAAATGAATGGTAATTTTTTTCAATTTTTTTTTGGCAATTGAAATAAATTCTATACCAAATGGTAGAAAAAAATTATCATTTTAATGAACAATTTTCATAAAAAAGAAGCCAAACGGACACCAAACTTTCAACATTTTTCATAAAAAATTATATCAATCAAATACAATTAATTACAATTCCCAATAAAACAATTTCTAAACAAATCAATTCCCTGTAAAACATTTTCTTTCTACTCATTTTCCACATTTGCAATCAAACGGACCTTTAGTGTTATGATATCGTGTTAACCGCATTTTAAGACTCAGCATTTAGAGATGATTCTAACTTATTTATTTAAATTACATCTTTAATAGGAAATACCAAACTCTTTAATTTGAAAATTCAATATAGATCATTAAGGATTAATTTAGATTTTGGATTTCAGTGAAAAAAATTTAGAAAAACCAAAGCATTTTTTGGATGAATTTTAAATTCGAGAAATAATTTTCTATAAATAAAATATTTACTTTAGAACTGAAAAATGATAAAAATAAAATAAAATATATTTTTCCTTACTCTCATAATTTTCATTTTCTAAAATTAAATATTGACATAATCCAAGCCTCGGTTTCAATGAGCTTGGAATCTCATTACATTCGTGAATACCATAGAGAGATCATAGATGCATTGCACATTGTAGTACCTCCAGTATTCTTGGAATCACTATTTTTACATTTTGACGTCCTTTAAAAAAATTAAAATTTTAAAGACATACTATATTTTTTTATTTAGCTCATGTTTGAGTCACATTCTCATTCTCATTCTTCTACTCATTTTCAATCACACATTTTTTAATAAAATAATATTTTTCATCGCATTAATAATTTTTCCTTCTTTTTCAACTATATATTCACCATCACGTCACAAAAAAAAAATGCACCATCTCCAAAAAAATGTGCATCAAACACACACTTATATTTCGACAAAAACCTATACGAATATCAACTTGCAAGCACAAAGACCTATTGGAAATCGCAGAAAACCTTCTTATTTGAAACCTTTTTGAGCGAAAAATCCCCTACCATCAGATTTTTCCGTTCAAAATAGTAAAAATATCAAAAGTAAAGTAATAATTGTAATTTTAGTATCTAAATTTTTTATTCTTTAATTATACCCAAATTTTTTTATGTACTACCCACAATCCCAAACTTTTAAAGCTTTATTTTATGTAATCCCTTTCAAAATCCTCCTAAATCCCTCATCACAAATTCATCATTTTTTCTTCTCATTCCAAAAATGGGCTAAATTGGAAATATTAGAACTTGAGGGACCAAAATGAAACTTCTTGACGACACAGGTGACCGACGTGTATTTCCCCATCAATCATGGCTGAGCCTGGGATTCCATCAGTGAAATCGTGATCCTTCCGTGCTTTTACATTTTGATCTCATTGCTATCCACCTTCTACAAATTCCATTATTCTTAATACTCAATGCACATATACATACTGCTGTGTGTGTGTCTATATATATATATATATATATATATCCTTGTTGAAAAACACACACAGGCACTAACAGAAATAGAAAGTTTTGTCAAAAAATGGTAGTGAAAACTAAGGGTCTGTTCTCTTTACCATTTTCAAGGCGTTTTCTGTTTTCGATTTTTCAAAACGGTGAAAACTTGTTTTCTTTCCTATTTTTGAAAACGCGTTTTTGAAAACAAATTAAAAATTTACAAAGAAAACCCAAAACGATAAATTTGTTGTTTTGAGTGTTTTCAGTTATAATCAAGTCAAAATTTTCAAAACCTGTTTTTTTGTGTTTTTAAAACAATTTTTCAAAATACCAAAAAAATACATTTTCAACAATCTCAAAATGGACACTCAAAATTTAAAATGAATTCAAAACACAAAATTAAAATACAAAGATAACAACTCCTAAGATTTTGAAAGTTGTAGTTGGATTGATGGCATTGTGCCGAATCGACGTTTACATCCCCGTCAATTATTGTTCATCAATTCTTCTTCTCATTCCTCCTAGAAAGGTTCTGCAAATTATTTCGACAACAAAAATGTACACTTCAATTGAATGTGAGCCTGAAAAAAGGGAATTATGTGGAACTAATAACGAAGGAACGAAAATTCTTGAGTGCTAATGAGCTGCAACTCAAAACTGGGTGTTGTGGTGGGGGGGGGGGGTGTGGATATTTCTAATCTTGGGAATAAGAAGAAATGAGGGATTTAGAAGGGTTTTGGAAGAAATTAAATAAAATAATAAAGTTTTGAGGATGGAGTGGAGTGGAGTGGAGTGGGGTGAGGTGGGGTGGGGTGGAATAGTAATTTATAAAAGAATATGAAGTTGTAAAGGTCTGTGTATAATTTGTAAAAAAACAAAAAGTTTGGATACTAAAATTACAATTATTATTTTTTAATTTTGACATTTTTACTATTTTTAACGACAAATTTGACGATATGAAGTTTTTTACACAAAAAGTTTCAAAAATGGAGTTTTCTACGATTTTCAATAGGTAGAAAATATATTGCAATTGAAAACGTTTTTAGGGATTTTCTGCTATTAATCATTCATTTTCCTTTGTTAATGGTCTTCCTGATTTCACTCTCTTGGTTTTTTTTTCTTCGTCGCATTAAGACAAGGTGGGGTAGTCACTCGTGGCTCCCTACCATATGTTTTCTAAGTGATTCACTTCTTCGTCCTATTTATGATTGACATGTAATAGTAACAAGAAACATACAACCACACAATATGCTTCATACAATTAGTAGATATTTTTAGTTAAAATTGCAATTAAGTTAGGCCTTGTTTGACTGTCATTATTTACAATTTTTTTTTTTTATATACTCATTTTCAATTACAGAATAAAATATTCTACACGTAATTTTAAAAATTTTCTATACTTTTGGATTTGTGTAATATTATTTTATTGAAAAATGTACTATACATAAGAAGAGAGAAAAAAATAAATTATAATTTAATGAGGAATAATAAGGGTCAAACGGGCTAGTCCGAGGGGCAACAGACACCACAACAAAGGCAACACTTGAACAATCGTTTCAAATGTTTCGTCAAAATTCTGTGAAATTTTAGAGTTTTAGAATTTTATTAAAACGATAAAAGAAAAATTAGATGGTTACCTAGATAATTTTTTAGAGTCGTCGAAGAGTTCTAATTTCTAGACGTCGTTTTCATATTGTTCCAATATTGATAGGACAGCTTGAAGATATTGTTCCAATTTCTAAATTTTTATCTCGTATTCTTTGTGGAATTTCCAAGAATCTTGAATTTTCTCAATTTGTGGTAGGCTGCTAACTTGAATGGATTGAAAAATATGAGGATCAATGATTGACCTTGATTTTTACAGGGTGACGTTGACAACATATCTCGACTTTATTTACGTCCATGTAGCTTTGCTCTTGTACACTTGGATAAATTGTTAGTTGTACGTAGACTTCTCCAGTGGTGTGGAAGGCGATCGCAAGCACTTCAACAGTCAAGTCAATCAAGGATAATAGTGTATTAGGTGTAGAACGTGCTTAAGACGTGAGCCACATAGTTGTTTGAGTATAGGGTACTGTATATGAATATGCAAAATATGAGAGAGAGAGAGAGAGAGAGAACAATCTAATGATAGGTTGCCATATGACATTATGTCAAAAATTATATCAACTATTATGTCTATGTAACATGATTATAAAATTATATTACTCTCAAATGGTGTTAAATGTGAACTTTTATAGTAGAAGATGTAAAAATATTGATTATTAGATCAAGAGACACGTTGCCTCATCTTGATGGTCAATGTATCTCCTCCTAGACATCAATCCATCTATCATAGGTTGATTCACATTTAATGTTTTTTGAAAACTGGTTACCATAGAAGCTAAGAATGAACCCTGAAAAGTGGACTGATAATTTAACATTCTAGATGTCTGATGCAGAGATGTTACATCAATCAAATTGTAGAAAGATCTTGTATAAAAAGATCTTTTGAAAGAGGCGAGGTGAGGTGAAAATGCTTCCTACCAGGTTAGCTATCTCGGATTCCCTCCCTATAGCATCCGTAATACCTCACTGGCCATGGATGATCGATCTCCTCATGGCACCTCGACAGAATTGATGCATGACCTTGGCTAACTTATGTATGGCCTCACCTCGACTGAAAGTGTTATGAAACGGATCACAAGATAAGTCAGATAATGAAATAAAGAAGAGAAAATAAGAACACAATAATTTACGTGGAAACCTAATTCGGGAAAAAATCACGGGTGGAGGAGAACAATCCACTATAATCAATAGTTTTGTATTTACAATATCAAGATTTCAATAATCTCAATTGAAATTTAGACTCTCAATCTCTCAATATGTTGTTGAAGATGTAAATAATAATATATGAATGTTATAATATGAAGATACAATGTGGCTATATATATAAAACCTCTTATTGGAGTTCAAGATGGAGAAGGAATCCAAAAAATCCGAAAAAAGGGGAAAATCGCGAAAACATTACGTAACCGGGGAGTTGCGGCACCTAGCGAAAATCATTCCAAAACATGCCTTTAATTATCTAAGAGTCATCTTTCAAGTCAAACTCCTAATTATCATTGAAATTTGATATTCACAACTTAGAACTCTACAAATCCAAATACCTTAGACTTCCTCCAATAAATCAAATATCAAATCACATGAAATTTGAATGACACAATAAAAGAAAGGATGGTGACGTGGAGTGTGGATTTGATAGACTTGCTATTTGACTGCTACGTGGTGATGATTTGGACTGATATCACTATCATTTTTCTTTCTTTTTTAAATTTTTTTGTCACGTTAAGACATGGTGGGGTTGCCACCTGTGGCTACCGACAATATTTTTCCAAGTGATGCACGCAATCGTCCTTTTTATGATTGACATGTAATGGTAACAAGAAACGCACCACCACACAGTATACTTCGTACAAGTAGAAATTTTTAGTTAAAATTGCAATTAGGTTAATTTCTAGTAAAAGGAACAACAGAACGCAACAAAGGCAACACTAAAATAATGGTTTCAAATGTTCCGTCAAAAGTTTGTGTGAAATTTTAAAGTTTATTAAAAACATAAAAAAAAAAAAAAAAAA